TTTCTTTCTTTCTTTCTTTCTTTCTTTCTTTCTTTCTTTCTTTCTTTCTTTCTTTCTTTCTTTCTTTCTTTCTTTTTAAAGCAAGGCCTCTATTGTTTCTGTTGCTGTAGACTAGCTGTCCCTTGAGCTTCTGGAAAGTTCTGTCTTTGTTGGGCGCACAGATGTGCACTGCTGTACCCAGGTATCCAGTTTTTATGCGTTCCTGATTCGGATGATCAGGCTGGCGAGCGCTTTTACTGAACCATCTCTCTACTAGCCCTTGTGCCTGCACACGTGCATGTCTCTCTCTCTCTCTCTCTCTCTCTCTCTCACACACACACACACACACACACACACACGGAAGGGGGATGACAAATTCTTACTCAGTACAACTCTTTTCCCTCTGGCGGGGAAAAGAAATTGGCCATGCAGAGCTCTGTCTTTCCACCTGGGATGAGTGGGCACAGTGCCCTGGCAGGATGTCCCTCTTCTCTCTCCTCAGGTCCAAATCAAGGAAGAGACCCGCCTGGTGTCCATTATTGACCAGATTGACAAGGCTGTGGCCATCATCCCCCGAGGTGCCCTCTTCAAGACTCCTTTTGGAGTCACCCACGTCAATCGGACCTTTGAAGGTGAGTTCCCTGAAGAGCTTCGCAGAGCAGGAGATACTAAGGTTCTGTTGAACATGTCGGGGAGACCAGAGGATGTCCCCTTCTTGAAGAAGAGCGGCTGTGTCGACAGCACCGGGAAGGATGGGCCTCCTGGTCTGCTGCTGTTGGTTAGTGCCCTGGTTTCATTCTGCTGCTGACAAGAAAGGAAGGAGATGGTCCGGTCCATCTCCGGGAAATGAGCGCACACAAGCAGGGCTCAGCTAGCTTTCTTTATTCTTGTACAGTTCAAGGCTCCTTGCTCAGGGAATGGTACTGCGAAGAGTGGGCTGGGTCTTTCCACATCCATTTACAATGAATATAACCCCCCACAGACATGCCCATGGGCTAACCTGCTGGATCACTGGGTCTCAACCTTTCTAATGCTGTGATCCTTTAACACAGTTCCTTATATTTCGGTGACCCAAAACATAACTACAAATTTGCTACTGTCATGAATCACAATGTAAATATCGGTATGCAGGATTTATGATACATGAACCCCATGAAAGGGTCATTATATCCCAAAGGGGCCTCAACCACAGGTAGCGAACCACCACTCCAGGCAATTCTTCATTAAGACCCTCCCAGGTTGGACATGGTGATTCATGCTTTTCATCTGAGCACTCTGAAGGCAGAGACAACTTAATTTTTTTTTTCTAGGACTAGAGACTAAAACGTGTATTCTTTCTTAGTGAATACATACTTTGGCTTAGGGAAAACATAAAAACAAAAAAATAAGAGGAACTCTTTGTGAGTTCAAGGCTGGCCAGAGCTACACAGTGAGACTCTTTGTCTCAAAACAAATAAACAGACTCTTTCCCTAGGTGACTCAAAGTTGTGTCAAGTTGACAGTTAAAACTAACCAGTACAGTTGGAATGGATTATCAGTCACTGGACCCTGAGGGGCAGGGTGTGTATGGTGACTTGAATTCTCCTGGGACAAGGCCAAGCGTGGGTGGAGGGAATGAGCTCCATCTCTTGGCTTTGGTTATCCGTCTGATGGACAGAACCCCCAGCTGCTGTTTCCCTTTGGTGGCAATGCAGGGAGAAAGGAGCCTTTGGGTTAATTGTTCTGCCATCTCCTCTTCCCAGGCCTGTCCTTGTCTGAGATCAGGAAGCTGAGTTCCTATTTCCACTTCAGGGAGGCTGTTGATATGAAGAACAAGACCTTGCTTGAGAAGGCAGACTTGGATCCATCTCTGGATTTTCTGGACTCTCTGGAGCATGACATCCCCAAAGGTAACAGGCCATTATCTTCAGGGTGTGGGGCTGACCTTCAGGTCAGAGCAGAAGGCCAGCTCACCCACCTTTCTTCTTGAAGGCTGGGACTAAGAACCTAGGCAGGCGTTGCTGGTTCACTGGTGACCTCCTGAAGGTGAGGCTTCCCCAGAGCCTGGTCTTAGACATTCCCCTTCTGTTGTCCAGAGCAGAGGAAGGATGTAAAGTAGCTCCGTGTCCCTTGAGTTTTTAGCAGAATTTTTTTGTTCTTATTTTTAATGTACTTCTGAGTCTTAGGGCCATCAATTTTTAATGTGTTTTGGCTTTTTGCTTGTTTGGTTTTTCAAGACAGGGTTTCCCTATGTGGTCCTGGCTATCTTAAAACTCACTCTGAAGACCAGGCTGGCCTTGAACTTAAAGATCTACCTTCCTCTGCCTCCCCAGTGCTAGGATCAAAGGCGTGTGCCACCACCACCTGGCCAATGGTTACTTTTTAAGTCAAAACTTTCTTGATGGATTTCTTTGTGTGTGCAGGTCATAGCACACATGTGGAGATCTGAGGACAAACTCAGAGAACTGGAAGTCAGTTCTCTTTTTCCACTTTGTAGGCTCCAGGGATCTAACTCAAGTGGTCAGGCTTGGCTGTGAGCACCTTAGCCAAAGATCCACCTTGCCTCCCACTCGACTTTAAGTTAAAAACCTCCTTAATTTTCTTTTCTTTAATGGATGAAATTATGTTTATTGTGAACACTGTGAAATGGTTCACTCTTGCTGACTGACAAGCGCATTGTCTCAGGTCGTCCCCCCTACCCCCAGAAGGAGCACGCTTGTCTGTTACCATCACATTTCCCAGGAGTGTAATATAAAGTCAGCTGTGGTAGTGCAGCCAGGGCTCAGACACTCAGACCTCAGCTCACAGCCCTATCTCAAATGTATCTGTATTTATACATCTGGATATACATGTATTTATACATGTACGTACATATTCATATATATATATGAATATATATATATATTCATCCTTAGCTATAGTACCATGTTTTGCAATAGACCTCTAAAGTTGTTCCTCCTATATACTGTCATTCTATTTCCTGTGTCCTTTCGTAACATAACCCCATACTTCCTTCAATCCAACCTACCTCTGATAATAGCTATTCTCTTCTTTATTATGAGACAAAGCATCATAATATAGCAGGAGGATCAGAAGTTTAATCCTTGGCTACCTAGTAAATTCTACATAGTAAATGAAACCCTGATTTAACCTCATCATCATCATCATTTGTTGTTGTTGGCTTTGTTTTGTTTTTGTGAGACAGGGTTTCTCTGTGTAGTCCTGGCTTTCCTGGAACTCACTCTGTTAGACCAGGCTGGCCTTGTACTTACAGAAAGCTGGGTACTCCAGGTCCAGGAGTTCCTGGAAAGCTTTGGTGGGAGAAGCTGTGGAGGCTTGGATG